TGCGTAGAAGCAGAATGCGTAGGGAGGCCTGATGTGGTGTTTTTGGTGTCTCTCCTATACATTACATGCACAGTAGCTGGGAGATAGGCGCAGAGCTTCAGCTCACTACAGCTCCTACCGCTTTCGGGTGTCCCTACCACTCTTGACAGCTACAGTGCGAAACTCCAAACTCGCAAACCACGTTATTGAGGCATGTCTCCTCAGTCCCAATCCCGGCAGCCAAACGTAAACTGAGCTAACAGAAAAGCGGCCTCAACCCTAAACCCGAAACCCTAAACCTCTAAACCCTAAACCCTAAACCCGAAACCCTAAACCCTAAACGCGAAACCCTAAACCGTGAGCAGGTTGCCTGTAGTAGCAGCTGTCGAGGACCTGAAGGTCGCACGTCCTAGCTTCTGGAACCCTAAATCACCCCTTTTTTGAGCAGGGACTGCAATGCAGGGCTTAGTGCATTGCAGTCCCTAAATCCACCCTTTTTTCACAAGGGACTCTGCTGCTGCCCTTACTGCCCAGCTTGACCCACAAGACAGTACTCATGACTGAGATGCCCTAAATCCACCCTGAAACCTGAAACCCTAAAGCCTAGCATTTCTCATTTTTGTTTTTTTCAAATAACTTGTTTAATTTATCATACTTAGTAATGGCAAAACTACTAAACCCTGAAGCCTAAACCCTCGCCCGGCTTAAACCCTGAGCCTGAAACCCTGAAACCCTAAACCGTGAAACTCTCCCCGCAACCTCAAGCTCTCAGCCAGGATATGACCCATATTATATATTATGAAAATGTTTTGCAATTTTGCATTATGCATTTTAGATTCTGCGGCATATACTACATATTAAGCCACATTACCTTCATTACATATGTGCTACATATCTACATATATATATATACATACATACATATATATATATATATGTGTGTGTGTGTACTTATACATATACTGATACTGTTCAATATCTGCCTCTATCGGCTGCACGCTCAGCCGTCAACCGCCTACATAGAGCTCCCACAAAACCCCGAACATTCAGGGGGAAACGTGCCTTTTCGAGCCGATCCTGACGTCCCCAGGTCGCCGCATCGCTGAGAAGCTTCCTCGGGCGGGCAGAAATATGGGGGTTTCCGAAAATAGGGGACCCTAATATAGTACCCTAAATAATCGGATCCTTATTAAGGACCCCAAAATAAGGTAACCTAATTTTCGGAAACTCCTTTATTTGCAGTCATAGCAATCCTCACAATAATCATATTAGCGATGGTCCGGTCAGAACGATAATAGCAGTACTCCGACAGGTTCGTTCATCAACATTGGAACTTTAGTACCCCCAGAATGCTTACATTCTCAACATGCGCTCAAACAGCCTTGAATCCTCTTGCAGAGTGGGGGGACTCGCCATCCTTCTCGCCAAGATGTTCTTTATTCTTGCAGCCTGGTTTGGGATCTCGGCTCCCTCAGCCCCAACCTCAAAGCCAAGATTGCGAAGTTCAGCCTCGAAACCTCCGTTTATGCCTATACCGCCAAAGCCGAAACCTTGATCCTTAAACCCTGATCTCGGGTTGTTCTACTCTGGCCTGGATTTCTTCGCTGAGTGCTTGTTCTGGGTTGGGGGGTTCGTGTGGCTCAGTCCTGAAGACACACGTGAAAACAGGTAGGCGGTCGTGATGATAGCGTTAAGGAGAATGAACGGGGTGATGGTTGCGGTGGTCATGTTCGCGGTTGGTGGCGGCCTCGACAAAGACGCTTAACGACAAGTCACATTTGAAGTGTCCGCGATCCGCTCCAGACATCCTCATGATCATCACATGCCATCACCATCATGGTCACCACTGCGACTTGAAGTCACCATGCCTCGTCTCGTCGACCAGCTCATGTTCCCCGTCAGACCCTAAACTCCCAAAACCCTAAACCACAAAACCCTAGAAGACCCCTTAAGGGAACGCTTTAAAGCGCTTTCAAGCTCCTTTCGAAGGCCTCCCTGACTCCAAACCTCCTTTGCTCTGCTTCTGCAGCCTTGGCTCTCGACGCTCGCCTCGTCCGCCGAGTCGGTGGGTGGCCGATCCAACTGCCCAGGTTGGAGCCTTCGAGCTCGGGCTCTTAGGGTTTCAGATACTTTGCGGCTCTTGGCAAAAAATAACTGGGGGCCCGGGATACCTGTATGTAGGACCTCGTAGGACCTCATGCCACGAGAGTTTGGAGGGAGAGTCAAACAGCAGTGATGATTATCAACAGCGCCCTTCCTAAGCCAGATCTTGATTGCTTATGTCTCTTTGGCCAGCGATGGTGACTGTCGATCAGCTTTTGCAAGCATCTGACCAAGTTGACTGAACTTCAGTCTTCATTCTGGCAACCGCCAAAGTCAGAGAGGTTGGTGCTCCGAAGCTCGGAACTGAAGTGCTTGCGATTTATGTTTTCAAACCTTGGTGCCTTCAGGGATTGCTCACAAAAAGTTCCTTTTTGGTCCACAGCCGCCTAGCAAAGTTGCGACCGCCGTCGAGGTCGAAGCGGACATCTAAGCCTGCTGGAAGAAGATGCTCGGGAAACACCTCTTTCCACTCCTGCCGCAAGGAGGATGGCTGGTAACATAGGGTTATAGTAAGTATAGTAGGTTATAGTCTACTATAATGCTTTCTGCTAGTCTATAGTGTATTGTAGTGCCTTATTGGGTTTGTTCTTGCTCGCGGCTGCATGTCTGGGCAAAGGGCTCCCACGTAGGGTAGAGACTGCTTCTGCTTAATGTCAAGCCTCGGAGCTCGGAGAGGCAGTGTAATGTAGGGGCGGTAATAATTAGAATAGGGTTTTGGGCTCCTTTCTAGTATTATTATGATAAGGAACCCTAACAGTAATTTTGGTAGTTATTTAGGCTTCTATATTAGTGAGCAGCTGTCTCTCAACCGGTTCTTATAACAGGTTCTGGCGAGTCGGGATCAACTTCTGGCTTCGTGCCTTGGGTCGTTTGTCGTGTCCGGGGGGTCTCAGATCTTCAGCTTCACATCATGCGGCAAAGGGTGGATGGCTCATCAAATCCCAGCGAAACTGTGCCAATGGCCGGTTGCGTTCGTGTCCGAGCCTTTTTCAAACCCCCAGACCCAAGGGAACCCGATTCTTACGACTCGGAGAGCTTGAGAAAGGCATAACAAAAGAACGCATCTGAGTCCACGGCTTCAGAATCTCCTTTCAGTGGCTTCCGCTGGTGATGCTTAAATTCGTGGCGTAGCAAGTGAAGCAAGGAAGCGATCAAGAGCTTGGGATAGTTCCCACGGACTACACACTTGACACCAACAAGCAGAAAAAAGATCCGAAACGACCACACAAAATAAAAGCTCCCAAAACCCTCTGAGCCCACCTTGCCGGGTTTGAAGCGCACCTTCCCCTCCGGCAGAGCCATGGGCTTCGGAGGCTTCGGCGTCGGAGCGCTCTGCAAGGGCCGACCAAAGAGCCAGAGGAGAGCCGGGAAGAGGCCCAGGAGCGAAAAAACCGGAGCCCAAAGAGGCAGCTCTCGTAGCCATGGCATCTGCTGCTCGAGCCTTCTGGCTGTGGAGGCTGGGCTCTGCGAGTTTTTTTTTTGGGGGGGGAGGCGGGGCTGTAGATCTAGAGCGATTTTATAGGCGGCCGCCGGAATTGAAGCTACCCCACCTTCAGCAGCCATGAATCCCCGTTCATTGCCGGCATTTTGTGTCGGCGCTGCGGCTCTCTCCATAACGTCATCCGCTGTGTGAAACTCTGGCTCTCAGAAGATGGCGCCCCTGGCCTGGCCCGGTACGAAGTCACCCATGGACATCTAAAGTTTAGGGTTTAGGGTTTAGGGGTTTAGGGTTTAGGGTTTCGGGGTTTGGGGTTTAGGCTTTAGATCCTAACTCCTGCACACGATGCTGTCGAGTCCTCCCAAACGGAAGGCATGAAACCTGGCATCCTGGCAGAACCCAGAAGCTGCAAGATTGCTACCATTGCCACCACAGCTATGCGATGAGAAGTGACGCGCGGCTTGCCTGAAACCGTGCACGATAGCAACGTAGTACGTATCACATAGAACCACAAAAGCGGACTACCAATTGGTATGTGTAGCACTAGCTGCAGCAGTAGCAACAGCAGAGCAGCACCACCACCAGCAGTCGTCTGAGGAGCACGAGAGGCCGCAGCAGTGATTGCGCTGTTGTTGGGCGTTCTTCTTGTGCTTTTTCTCACAATGGCCACAGCGGTAAAGGGACCCTCGCCGGGCCTTTAGGAATAGTACCAATATCTAGTCGTTACACTACCCCAGCTCTTCGTAGAACCTCTGATGGGCCAAGAGGACAAGGTAAGACGAAAGATGCATGTACGCATATATGTATGTATGTATGTATGTATGTATGTATGTATGTATGTATGTATGTATGTATGTATGTGCGTATGCATGCATCTATGTAACTATGTATCCGTGTATCTGCATATGTAGGTATGTTTGTATGTATGTACATATGCATCTACCCATCTACGCATCCATGCATTATAGCTTTATAAACATACGCAGGAATTGAGAGAGAGAGAGAGAGAGTGAGAGCGAGCGGACAAACAAAGTGTGTTTGTAGATGCCCACGTGTATCAACCTTGATTGGATGCAGGCTGTGCAATTATGTGTGTGTGTGTGCACGTAGATAGCCCCGTAGATATAAAGAGAGGCAACGAGACTAGCAGAGACGGAAAGAAGAGAGGGCACAAGCGGATGATGTGAGTGCATACTTGCATGAGAATGCCTCTCTCGATCGCTTGCTGCATGTGCAGGTATCCAGACGGGCGTGGATGTTCGGAACCTGTGTAGTCACCTACTACTACCTATATATTCAGCAACGTATTCATGCTGCTATAATGATGCTAAACTTGCATTCCGGATACAGAGTCTTGGCATTGCGCACAGGGTAGCGGTGCGAATCATGCACGAAGAGACGACGTGCCCGTGAACCCTCATTATACTGCAGAGCCCTACCACTAAATCCTGAAGCCCGAAAACCCTAAGCCTCCGCTTCGTCAGGCAGCCAGCAATCTCGCGAGCACCAGGACCTGGGGAAGAGTTTGAGGCTCCAGGGCCTTTTATAGTGTAATATACGTTATCTATATGAACCGATGGATCTATGCATCTGTGCAGGTGTGTGCATGTATGCAGAAACACATACATATATGTTTCTATCTCTATGTATGTATATATATATACACACCAACACAGATATAGACATACACATGCAAATCTCATCTATACGTACACATCTCATGGCTAGATGGCAATTCAGGGTAGCAGCCCAAACGGCGTGATGGTTTGATGAGCTCCGTGCCACAGGCAAGAACGTGTTGGCTGCTGCCACACAGAACCCCACCGAAGGAGGAACGAATAAGAGGGACTGAGCATCCAGCTCCTTCTTGAAATCCGTCAGAGGATTAAGGCGAAGAGTTCAAAAACCTGGAACCATTCGATGCGACAAGAATCAGGTACGTAGTTCCCCAATGCTTTCTCCAAAATTGCTGTATGGCCAACGCCAACTCACTTCTGTAACGAGGAGCGTAGCACCTTACGTTCCTGCTTTACCAAGCCCTCCAACATCTCTGGACATTCGAATTGCCCTGTTCCCTAAAGATTCCTAAACCCGAAAGCCCTAAATCCGAGGCAGCAGCGAGAGACCAGCCTGGGATCACACAAGCAAAACACTCTAAAGGCAAGTGCTTCCGGCGTGCATCGCGTAGCTTTTCGGGATCTGGTCAGCTAGTGTGTAGGATTTCGGGCTCCTGGTTTTGGGGAAGGAGGGGGGGGTGGTCCTGGGCTAAGGGGTGGTCGGGGGAGGCCGCCAGGTAGCTCAGAGTGGTCAGACTGGCATCGCCCTTGTAGATGTAGTTCGCCATGCCAAGAACCGTGTTGTCATCGTAGTTGTAGTCCTGTTTTGGTCTGGACTCTCGCTTAGGGATTCGACACGCGCACTCGCATAGGCAGGCACGGATCCAAGCGACGAGTCTTCTCAACGTGCATTTTTTGCCTCCCACCTAGCTAGGACAAAGCCCTCAACGTACTTAGAGCTTGGGACTTGGGGCTTATATAGGGGTGGTCGAGGGGAGGTCAAGCAAGAAGCATCTGGCTGATGGCTGGCCGGGGACGGAAACACAACCGGACAAACATTGGATGATGCACAACAGGACGGGACGACTTTGAATACAAGTGCGGCACATCTCGCACTATAGTTCTCCATAGATCAAGCTATCACACCCACGCCTGAGAGTCATTACATGCTTTGCACCTTTCGCCTATAGGTCACACGGCGGCTGAGATTCTGCTGCTTGTAAGTTCCTGCACCCTTAGAAACAGTTTCGTGGTGATGCGCGAGGGGACTCTAAACCACGCCCTCAACCGTCCTGCCAGCCGAGTGCGAGTATGTGAGTCGAAACCCTAAACCCTACCCAAACCCTAAAGCCACAAGAACCCTAATATCTAAACTAAACCCTAAAGCCACAAGAATCCTAAACCCTAAAGCCACAAGAGAACCCCTCAACATCGAATCACGTGGGTCCGGCCTCCGGCTTCTTCTCCGCACGCCTTCGCGATGAGTAGAGCACGCCGTCGTCAGAGTGGAGCTCCACGTTCGCACCCAGTGGCCTCTCGAAAGTAATAACAAAAGTAATGATAGCAGTGATAAAAAAATATTGGATATAATCAAAACAAATCAGTAACAATAATAATAATAACAATAATAGCAAATACATCAGTAACAAGAATAGTAGTATCGATAATATGGTACAGTGATTGAAACTGCTCAGGGAACCCTGCATGCCAAGGCGCATGTGCATCTCCGTCTCTGTCGGGGCGTAGCCGGATTGGGGCTGTCCAGAGCGGGCCATCCTCCGAGTGACTGTGCTGCTGAAGTTCACCCCGTAATAATATACTATATGATATACTATATAATATATAATATATAATATACTATATGAGATAAAATATGTAGTATAATATAATACATAATATAGTATATAATGTACTATATGACTACCCAGGTGATGTTGTACCAGGCGACACTTTCGATGGATGCAAGAAGGGCATCCATCACAGCACCTCTCTTACTGCTGGTGTAACGGACAAGCAGCCGTTAAAGATTCTTGTACGTGCAAGTACATAAAGCACGCCCGTACATACAGGATTGTGTAACATCATGCGCCATACCCTGCAACATGCAACCTGACCATACCTCATGTTTCCGCTCATCTTGGCATGACATCAAAGTACCATGTATCACCAGTGTCAACTGATACACTCTGACATCTCTGACAAGACATGCTGTAGCACAGTGTAGCACAGCATGAAGACTCGGGCAGACTTCGAGACTGGACCCTAAAACCCAGACGCTGAACCCTGAATCCTGAACCCTCAACTCCCTAAACCCTCCATCTGCGCCATCACCAGCCCAAGCGTCATCGGATTTCCGGAGCGGACCATTGGCTGGCCGTAGCCCTGCGGCCCTGGAGAGCCGTATGCGTTGAAGCCTCACCGAGCTCTTGGGTTCTGTGCCGAGAGATCGGGTTAGGCGACTTCGCCGGCCAATGTCTAGCGTGGAAATCGGGGGGGAGGGGGTCTGAAGAATTGCTTCGTACTGTAACTGGGCGATTACATGCCCCAAAACCCTATGTAAACTTGGGACAGCATCTCCAAGAGAGCTCGAGAGTCCAAACAGCGGCAAATTTTTCCCATGCGCTGTGAGAGCCTGACGATCATATTTCTCCTCAAATTCCTGGATATGCTTTAAAAGAACCTTCCGCATATACTTTTCGGGTATTTTGGAAAGCTGTTTGAAGCTGCTCTTGCTTTCGGATGTCGAGGATTTTGGCTGCAGAGGTTGGGGCCATGCATGGCCAGGTTCTTACATCTAGCTAGCTTCAGGGGCAGTGGCTGCGAACTCCTAGCAGACTGCAATCTCTCTCTGTTGAAAGACAAGAATCATTGAAAGCTCGCCCTTCGAACCCCACCCTTTTTGCACCTGGACATGTCGAATGCCCGCACCCCTCTGAACGCTTAGCCGAGGACTCCGGACCGTAAACCTAAACTGAAGCAAACCTCCTCGTAGCTTCGGGCCAGGGGCCGTTGCCGTAGGAGCCGCCGCCCATTCCACCACCCATTCCGCCGCCCATGCCTCCGCCCATGCTGTTCATGCCGTAGCCTCACCACAGTCAACTTGCCATGTATATGGCTTCTGCTAGCTACAAAAGCTTCAGCGCTGAACGGACGTGCCAAAGCCAAGTGCCCTGATTCTGCCGCTGCCCAACATGCGCTCTTGTGCAACTTCTCTCTGCAGTCGGGCACCAGTGGCGATAAATGAACAGAAAAGGAGCTGTTGCCGAAGCCGCCACTGCCAAAGCCGCTGCTGCCGAAGGTCGGGTATTGGCCCTCCTGCTCGGGTTTCAGCGCATGTATGCACAGTTTAGCAATCACCACCTACAACAATTTCGGTTTACCGTTCCTCCTCCTCGTGCTCCCTGCTCACCTCCTGTAGCTACCACCATCACCACCGCCACGACCACGACTACTACGACAACGACGACTAATTGCTACTACGGCTACTACGGCTGCTACGACTACTACGACTACTACGACAGCTACGGCTACTGCGACTACGTACCACTACGTACAACTGCGACTGCGACTCAGAGTACAATTACGACGACGACGACGACGACGACGCCGATTCTGAGTAGAATGTTAAGCTTTTAAGGAGCCTTGAAGTACTACTGATACGGTGATACCTGCCGCGCCCTGCTTTCGAGCGGTCTCACAAACCATTGGCATGATTGTTGCACGTACCACTTCTGCATTCGTCAAACCTGCAGCTCGTGCTCCCACTGCGATCTGAAGGGCCTTTGTGCTGGAAGGAGCCTATTTATGACTAGGAGACCAGATCCCGTCGCTGCGGTTGTCGTCGCACCTACTCGCTACTAACGTCTGGCTGCGGAATGCATTGTCTCACTCATAGGGCTCGTAACGCTGAACATTACGGCGTCTCCGGTCGCAGGAGGCATTTGCAGAAGCTCACGGGCAAGCACTTCAACGCATCAACAGCAAACGACACGTGAGCTCCCCGGCTTGCCTGGTGCTCCGAATTCACGGAGCTGCTCATGTCCGAACTCTTCCCCGACTCCTGGAAAGTCTGATTTGCGCTGCCGGGACGAACCCTAAACCCTCCCGAAGCTTTGCCAAACTTTCTTTGGATGCTCTCCATCACCAGAGACAAACCCGAATCATGTGTGTACATTCCTGACGTTCAGGACTTTGGTCAGGCCTTGCTGTGGCTTACGTGCCCATCGTGGGAGACCTCGCTGTGGATTGCGCTGGCCTGAGGGATTGATTGAGGATGGATGCCCAGAAGTCAGGTGCCAGATTGCTTCAAACGATGAAGGAGACCAAAATAAGACTTGGAACTTACAGGGTTTCAGTCTCCGAACCGGACACCAGCTGGGGAAGCCGCACCCTCCCGTCTCCCACTTATGTGCAGCCTGCAGGGATGCAGAAAAGAGCGGGAAAGCGAGAGAAGAGAGAGAGAGAGAGAGCGAGAGAGAGAGAGAGAGAGAGAGAGAGCGAGAATCCTAAACCTTAAACCTCAAATGCCTGCTCCTCAAAACATACGCCCAGAAGAAGAGCCACACCTAACCGGGGCTCGCGCGACTGCACTCGGAAGGAGCAGCAAAAGCGCCCGGGGCCTGCACTTCGCAAGCTCCACAAATGAAGCCGCAACAATGCCTTTTTACATCCATAGGGTTTAGGGTTTAGGGTTTAGGGTTTAATGACTGGCACAGGTATCATCACGTTCATCACCTTCATCGTCATCACCATCAGCAGCAGCGTCGCCAGCAGGGTGTAGACCCGATCTCGCCCCCCAGTCGGTTCTTTGGGATCTTGGGTCCAGGGCTTTAGGCTAGGACCTTGGGACTTGGGCTTGTGGGCTCGGACGTCCCCACTCTAGCACTCAAGCTTTCGTGCTCTGGCAGACAGCGACGACACCCTCTGCCAGACATGACTTCCGGAACTAAGCCGGCTCACATGCAGCGTGCAAACTTTGAGGGATCGGCCGCATGTGTCAAGGGCCAAATGTGAATGGACCTCGGCTTCTTGTCTACTTTCCTCCGAGGGAAGAAGACCCTTTTCATGAGAAGCATATCTGCAGCACAAGTCTAACGACTGCCCTTCTGAGATCGTGGCTGGATTTGCAAGAAATCTGGTGGCAGTATTTCTACCACGACCTTGAGCCTCGAAATTCGAAGGACGTCCCAGCTAAGAATGTCGGACTGACATGCCAGCGACAGAAGTGGCCTCCTGCTATTCGTGAGCATTCCGAGAGGACCTTTTCCCGGAAGAGGGGGGTGGTGTGTTGCTGGAATTTGTAAACATAGACTTGGAAACTCTTCCAGATGGGGTCGCGAAAAGAACTTAGGGTCCCTGACTTATGGTCTCCAGTTCTCCGGAATGAAGGCACGAGAAAGCTCCAAAACTAGGTTTCCATCACTCGCGGTCCAGGTCTTGAGGCATACCTGGGAGAGGAGAGCTTCTGCACCTGCTGGTGGATGCTTTGCAGCTCGCCGTTGCAGTATCCCCTCTTCCTGATGCTCGGCCAACCGTAGATCGTGTCCCCATTGTTTTCGATGGTTGTGCACCAGGCGATACGATGCCTGGCAGCCTGGCAAGTGCCTAACTTCAGGAGCCGTCTGCGCAAAAACACCGCGAATGGCCAACACCTCGGAGATCTCCATCCCGACCTACTTGAGCGATCTGTCTGCATGAAGCCCATGAATGTTTGGCAAGGGCCTTTTCCTACCAGCAAGCCTCACGCTCGTCTGAGAGTTCCTTTATGTACTGGTCCAAGACCACTCGAAACTTGAACGCGTATGCCCAAGGAGTACGGGGCATCGCCCCCGCCATTACTGACACGGCCAGGGACACAGGAAGGTTGTGATGTAGGAGAGCCTCGTTGGCATCGTAGGCTATATTGATCTCCTTCTCCTTCAGCTCGATCGGACGGTGGCACCAGTGAAAGATAAGCATCTTGGGCAGCAAGCCGGCCCAGCCGATATCCCCAATGACCACCTCATTTCGGTCTTCCAAGACTGACCCCCGGATCTGCACCAAGTCCTCCGGCAAGAAGGCGACCTTCATTCGTTGAGTCGGGAGACCCAAGAAGACGTGCAGCCCGCGCTGGTCGATCTCGAAGGGGTGATCATGGTACCAGGCAATGAACTGCGACATCCACAAGGCCGTCTGCCCTGAGGCCCGGAGATAGAATACGCCTATGTTGACGCAGTCCGCATCCCCGTGGCGGGCAAAAAGCGCATCCCAGCCTTCAGCTGAAGCCAGGATACGATTGGTGGGATCTCGGAGCCAGAACGTGTCCATGTCTGTGTACAGTACATCGATTCCGAGATGCAACAGCCCATGGATGCAAGTGAAGCGATGGACCTGCGACATCGTGTCCGGCATCCAACAGATCACCTGGGCACTGTGCATGCTATCTCCTGACATGAGTTTGCGACAGGTGTTTGCGGCATCTTCACCTATGGCGATCACCAGCAGAGGGTGCAGGACATTCAGGTGAAAGAGATGGCGCGCAAGCCGTTCCAACAGGTATGCCCACTTCCCACCGTACAGCAGCACCACATATGCAAGCCGCCGCTTGAGTCCTTGTCGTTCCGACACTGCCGCCACAGCCTGCGCTGCATCAACCAAGCTCCTGACAATGGGCCTCATTGGCCCCCAGCCATCTTCCTGAATCCGACTCCGCACGCTCAGAGCTTCCACGAACTTGATGTGACGCAGATGCAGCAGTGAATCGACCTTTTCCACGGCCTCTTCCTTCCAGCCGGGTGACAGAAAGTGGTTGCGGGGAGACACCAGTGGAGAGAGCTCATCACTTCGCAGGTTCCAGTCGCTGTATCCACGGAGGTATTTCCGATCACCGCCCCAATACCAATTTGCCTTGTTGAAATCTGCGAAAATTGCCAACACGTGCCAGACCGGCCAGGGGGAGCTGCTCACCCTGCCGAACTGCAGCGCACCCACCACCTCAGGGGCATCGTCCTTAAAGTGGGCTTTTGGGAAAACTCCCACTTGACAAGTACCCCACCTGGTCCATGATCTTCCCGAAAGGAGGCAAGTGCTGTGTGCTCTTGCCCGCCGCAGCCACGAGCTGCGTCGCTGCCAAGAAGAAAAACCCAAACGGGCACTCTTCCGAGGCCTTCAACTGGTTTTCCTTCCAGCGCAGGATGGTGTAAAGATACTGGGAGACAACGACCTGCAACTCGACCATCATCTCGTCGTGGCCCGGGAGCTTCGATTCCTCATCCGTATACACCAGGTCGATCCAGCGCATACCTGGGCTCCAGGTCTGGTCTCTTCACGCTCGGGCAGGAGAGGCAGGGATCTAGGGGGTGCCGGGCCACAAACACAAACTCAGTGCCGTTCAGAAGTAGCAGGTACCGTCTTTGCGGCACTGGCCCCAGTCAACAACGCCCTTCACATCGTCGCACATCACCACCTGGCCAGTCAGAGAGGTCTTGCCCCTGCCACACCTGACCTTCACAATTAGTTGCACGACTAGTACAGTACAATTCCCAACCCTACTATTGCTGTTGCTGCTAAGGACCATCCGTACAGCTACGTTGCTACGATTGCAAGTTATACACAGTTCCTCTGTTCACCAAACTGTGGCCCGGATCACCAAGCCCGAGTCCCAAAGCCCTCGCGCCTCCAAGGGAATGTGGTGGACGTGGGAGAAGTGCGCAAGCACCGGGAAAATGGGCCAGCGAGTGAGTGCTAAAGCGTAGGTGGGATAGGTGGCCAAGACTAGCTGGATCTCCTGGCTGAGCCCCAACTTAAAACCCCGGAACTCGCAACCCTAAACCTTAAACACGCAGCTTCGGACCCCTGAGACCCTAAACACTAAAAGCCACGGGGGTCGAAGGTGGTCGGGCTCCGGGCTCCGGCGGCCGATCATTGAATCTGATGCGCACATGGGGGGTTTTGGGGTTGGGGTTTGGGGCTTTTTGGCGGTTTTTTGACACTCACAGGTTTAGGGTTTAGTCTTGGCTTTGAGGTATTTTTTTGTTGTGTTTAGGTGAGCACGTGAATGTGGAAACAGAGTCTTCCAAAGATGTTAGTCTAGAGCCTC